CCCCCCCCCCCCCCCCTCCCGGAAACGTGAATCGAAGTTCCTTCAGAATTTAAAAAAATCGTCGGAGCGAGAGTGAAACGTATTTAATTTTATTTTATTCTATTTTATTTAGTTTTATTTAGTTTGATTTGATTTAATTCCATTTGATTTAATTTTATTTAGTTTTATTTAGTTTTATTTGATTTAATTCCATTTGATTTAATTTTATTTAGTTTTATTTAGTTTTATTTGATTTAACTCCATTTGATTTAATTTTATTTAGTTTTATTTGATTTAACTCCATTTGATTTAGTTTTAATTCATTTTATTTCATTTTAATTGATTTAATTTCATTTTATTAAATTGAATTGAATTGAATTGAACTGAATTGAACTGAATTGAACTGAATTGAACTGAATTGAATTGAACTGAATTGAATCGAATCGAATCGAATCGAATTGAATTGAATTGAATTGAATTTAAATTAATTCCATTTAATTTATTTATGTATTCTATTTAATATAAACACCCAGTTTCAAAATAACAGAAACAAAAGCATATCATACTTTGAATTTGCGTTGAATGATCGAATTAGGTACTCGGAGCCTTGAAAATTGAATTCGAGTCGAACAGTACGAAGGAACTCGAACACATAAATGGCAATGCAACTTCGATCGACGGCGTTCCCGGTCGCCGAATCGAACGCATCCGCTTCCGACAACGCGATCCCACGTTCGTCCTGTACACGCCGCGGTTCTTTACGCACTTCTGGCGAAACTAAATAAGCAGCAATGAGGTTAAAGGAAAGACAGCACTCGAGATGTATTGTACAATCAAGCAACACTGGGTCACACAATTCAAACGGGAAATAGTTCTCGCAGGTGACCGTGACAACGGCACCCCGATACAAAGTGAGAACAAAAAAAAAAAGAAAAACAAAAAAAGACGTGAGACACCACTACTTCACGTTCGGAACATCGACGCGCGCGAGATCGTTCAGCGATCGCGCGCGCGCGCGCAAGTTCGTTAGCTGGCGAAACACTACGTACCCCGAACTCGATCACGAGGGCGTCCACGATGCTGCCGATCACCGTGATGAAGTCGAACGTGTTCCAGGCGTCCTTGAAGAAGTTCTGAATGGCGACGGGACCGGGAATAAACAAGTCGATTAGTAAATCCGCGCGGTTTCCGCGCCAGCGTTTGCCTGACTACAGCCGTCGGGCTTTGCTCGACGATTCGTACGAAACCGTGAACCACGTTCGGAACAACTACCTATTGGTAGACGTGTAGCAAACGTTCGAGCAAACTCCGAAGGCCATCAAGTGTGTAAAAGATGTCTGCTAACTAACGCTACAGAAGAAACTACGAATCGAGTTTGAAGAAGTAGCGAGTCTGTCGGTTTCTCTGCGTGTCTTTGCATATGTCGACGTGTATCCGTGTGTATCCACGTGTATATGTGTATCCACGTGTGTGCGTGTGTGTGTGTATATGTGTCGAGTATTACGTGTGTGTGTCGAGTATCGTGTCTCGGGCGTGTGATCGCGTGGGCGGGCATTATGCGTGTACTTCTTGCGAGGATTGCACGTGTGTGTAAGAACTGCGGTGTTTTTTTTTGGCTTCGATTGTGTCTGTATGTTTGCGATTGTTCGACGGTGACCGTGTCCGTGTGGAAGTGGCGCGCGGCTTGCGTGGATTGCGACAGAGTGTTTTCCTCCGTTCCTTTTTGTGTCCGTGATGATTCCGTGGCTCTGTTCAGTGTCCTGCTCTCCGTGTCTCTGTTTTTTGCGTGTCTCTCTCTATGTATGTATGAATGCGCACGTGTAGGCACCCTTGCGCGAACGCGCAAATGGGTTTAGTGGCGAGTGAGAGCGCGAAGTATGCGTAGAGTCGTGCTGTTCGGGGGGGAAAAAACGGTGTGTCGGTGATGTAAGAAAAAAAGGACGCGTCTCCTCGTTGTTCACAGGTGTTCCGCGAACGTGAACGACTTGCGGGGAGGAGCGCTATGAAGTAAAAAGGTATGTGTGCCTGTGTCTGTGTGTTTGTATGTGTGTGTGTGTGTCCAGCGGAGCAGAAGAATGAATCGTTTTGCTGTTCATGGAGCTAAGCTCGCAGCGAGTTCACCTGACAGGTTCTACCGTCGCCGGAGCGGCTTTCGATCCGAGTGCCTCGCGATCGATAGATCGCTGTCCTCGGTGTCAGAGCGCTACGAGAGGATTCGGGGATCTAGCACAGGTGGACAGGTGTCCGAGAAGCTGCGTTTCGTTTAAGAATCGAGCCGGACCAGTGCCAACATCGACGTTCGAACTTTGAACTTTGTGTTTCGACTTTTCTGTCGATCGCTTCTCCGCGGGTTTCGCATGGATCTCGCGTGTCGTGCACCGAATATTTCGGGGATTCGAAGATCGCGCGGTTCAAAGTTCGAACTGTTTCGAACGGCACGGTCGAGGCGCTCGGGAAAATGATCGAGAAGTGAGGTCGTATCAGCGATCGCCGACGATCGGCCACGGCAGGGTCGCGTCTAAAGATGTATTGTTGCTTGCGTCTACGGGAGCATGCCGGTAATAGCGAGCAAACTATAATAGACAGAGTGGGTGGGTGGGTGGGTGGGGTGGGGGGGATAAAGAACGATAGAGAGACGCTCGCGAGGTTGGTTATTCGCGCGGAAGCTCTACTTTCCAGCATTCTCCTCGGGCAAAGGGCCGGGAAGGAGGTCGGTTCCCTCGAACGATTCAGAATAGCGCGAACCCCGAGCCGAGAGTATCGCCGCGGCGATCTCTCCTCTCCTCTCCTCGGCTGTCGTCTCGCGGCTCTATCGCAGCTTCTCGGCACGGTCGCGGGACGTTTTCATACTCGAAATGAAAAAGCCTCGGCTGGAAACTGTCCTACATACATCGGGGAAAACATTCGCGGGCATGTTGGCGCGGGAAAACGGCCGGAAAAAGCACCGACCGGGGTCTAGAAGCGATCCATTTCGAACGCGAATTGAAACGCGCCGCGATCATGGCTGCGACACGCTGCGGCTACGCCCTTTCGGGCGGAACGCTTCCGATGCGACGATTTGAGAACTCGACGATAAGGAGTCTACGAGATAGGCTGTCGAAATTCGCACTAGAACCCTGTCGCTCTGACTCAGTCTCGGTTGATGGACGCCGGGAATATTTTTTTTTTGGTCGGAATTATTTTTAGAAATATAGGGTGCGCGTTCTTAGTTCGTTTCAATCGTGTTCTAAAGAACGGTCGTATAATAGGAAACGTTTTTCGCGTTCAAAGAGAACGTATATCGAGTTGGAATTGTAAAGATGACGTATGTCGAGGTGCCACTGTACTTTTCTGGTCGTTTGTGCAGTACGAGATTCTTGCTCGTTTCGATTGTTAAAGATCTTTAACCCTTTGCACCCGAGGCGACTCTGAGACAGTGCTGAAAACTGTCGTATCGTTTTCTAAAATAATTAGAACGGAATCGGATTTGTTTAAAAAGTCGTTAAAACTACAAGTATTGTATTATACTTGTCAACAGGCTCAATTCTTTATGTAAAATGGCTCATAAAAGTGTTCTTACACCCTCTTGAAACGCAATAAATATTTTAAAACTGAACTAAATGACTTGAATTTCTTTTTTTTTAGGTGATGGAGGGACTAGTCTACTAGACGATGACTGAAATGCTCTTCTCTTTCATTTTGCTATTACTTGGAATGACAAAAAGAAATAAAAGTCTCCCGTTTTTTCAACTGTTTCATCTGAACCTATTAACGAAAATTAAAAAAAAAATCTCTATCGTAGATCTCGATAACTAATATGCATGTTGAAAATTACATCGAAATCAACGAAAGGCATTTTTTAAATTTTCCGTACAGACTCAGATGAGAAAGAAGATAAAAAAGATAAAAAGAGAACAAGGGTTTCTAATTCTCTCTTTTCGCACCAAGTAACAACAAAATTACAAAAAAAGCTTCTTATCCATCGTCTAACATACTATCGGTCTGTCTATCTCCTAAACAGTTCTACTATCATCTAAAAAAAAATTCAAGTCATTTAGTTCATTTTTCAAAAAGTTATCGCGTTTTATAGATTGCAATAAATCATACAAAATGGAGATACCGCGGATCGAGAAACATACTTTGGATTTGCCTCGACAGCAAAGGGGTTAAGAAATAAGTCTGTAGACAGAGGATCGCGCGAGATGTACAGTGGCAGCTGAATCAGGCGTCCATCAAGAGAGGAACTGTCCCGTCGCCGTTGTCGCCGCGAACAATCGTCTTGTCTCGAAACGCGACGGATCGCCGATAATCCAGCCCGCACGGTGGAAGAACATCGACAGTGGGAGGGGGGCAGGTATTACGTATAATTGTATACGGTTATATGTATACCCTCTATCCTATATATGATACGATATAATATGACATATATGATATGAATTATAACATGACACGACATGACACGACATGACATGATGGTTGCGTGTGATTTACGAGTTTTAAAGTGGAGAGTGTGTGTGACTTAAGAGGCTGTTTCTATACCTTGCATCCGAAGGCGACGAGTTTAAGGATGCACTCAATGAGGAAAAGGAGGGTGACGATCAAGTTCACGACGGTCAAGATGTCCAATAGAGTCGGCGGCGCCTCGTGATACTACAAAATACACCCAACACACAAACGTAACACAAGCCAAGATTCTGCATCGTTGCCCGCAATTCTCCGGTCGCCTCTACGATCGTTTCTTTTTTCTCTCTCTCGGCGATCTTTTTGCATACGTCATCCGCGGTTCAAACGTCGAAATCGCGAGTTCTCTCTCTCGTCGTCGATTAGAATCGCGAAGGGAGGGCGCGCCGTTATAGTCTTCTGTCGACGGAATTTCTCGCGACGTTCCCGCCGTTCTCGCGCGAAACGCGGATTCCTCTGCTCGCGCGATCGATTGTTGCTCCGCGATCGGCTGCGGGATTACTTCGTCGACTTTACTTTAATCATTTTACTTATTATTTACTTATTTTTACTTATTATTACTTCTGAACGCTCTCGGGATCCACGGAAACCGAATTCGAGCGAGAAAAGGGAACCGAAGTGCTGCGAAATTCTGCGAAATTCTGTGAAATTCTGCGATTCGACGCATCGAAATTCTACACCGGCGCCCTCGTCGATCCAAAAATTGCTCGCAAATTTCCTACGCCGCGCAATAAAGACGAACTCTCCCCGGAAATTCGTAGATCGAAGTAATCCCGTCGCGCGCAACGCTATCAAATCCTCGATCGCGGCGAAGAAGCGGCTCGTGTCCGTAAACGTCGACGATCGAATCGAACCGATCTCCGGTCGATCCCTCTCGTGTTCGGCGCGCGAAAACGGTGCTCGATTCTTGCGTGTATGTAGTATGTGTGTGGAGTGTGTGTGTGTGTACGTCGAATAATTAATTAGCCGGCCATTCCCGAAGATGGCGGAGGCATGGAAACAGCATGCGTGTGTCACGCTCGCGCGTAACTCGAACGGAAGTTCCGGCCGGTTGCGCCTGTTCCGCGCGGATCCGCGGGGGTTGGGAGGGTGGGGCTCCTTTTGCTCGCCGACAACATTTCGGGGACAGTGTTCTCGTGTTTCTGGACCGTTGGCAGCGAGCATCGAAGCGCAACCGTGTGATTCGTGAACCAAATACAGTAGCCGTTCCTGGCCCATTAACAGTCGATGCAAACTACAGAACAACGCTTTCGATGCCGAGCCCCGATCCTCGTCGCGGATCTCTTCGCCGTCTCTCGAGACGATCCGACATCCGACGAAACAGCGACCCGTAATACCGCAGGAAGCCGGCTAAAATGTGTCCAGGAACTGCGAGTTTGCCGACACGTTGAAATTCATTTTCTCCGCGAGCGAATTGACGTTGCGGCGCGCTGCGTCGATTACTGCACCGTGCTGCACTTGATTTTTGCGAAATGAATTTCAATCGCGATTTGACGAGGGATACACTAACAATGATTCGATGTGAGACGACGAGGAATTTAAGGTTGAAACGGTATTACGAGGTCGTATTTCGTGGTGCAATGTCAGAGAGAAAGAGAGAGAGAGAGAGAGATAGTTGGTTCCGATCGACGAGAAAACGATCGACGCTCCGCAGCGAAGGCCGCGGTGTACGCATGCAAGGATCAAAAAACATGTCAACGTGCAGTGATCACGTGCGGATGCAACAAGACGGAGATCGGCATGCACGGGAGCTGTTGTGGGTTTTGGCTTCTATCGCATCTGCCGCAGCCAGGGCTTTGCATCGTGGAAAGGCTCGCGCGATTTCCACCCTGTTTCGCACGTGTCTCGTGGGAGCAATTTGTTTTCTTTTTTTCGAAATGAACAAACCAAACAGAGAGATAGAGAGAAAGAGAGATATACAGGGTGTCCCAGATTTTAATGTTCGAACTTCGTTTAGTGTATTCCATGGCACAAAGTAAGAAAAAATGTTATGCAGACATAGGTCGTATAGAGCTTTATTAAGAAGTTATAACAAAAATTCAGAACAGGAATAGTAATCAACTTGCTGTTACTGCAAGTTAAGTAAGTAAGTGCTGTAAGTCAACTTGCTGTTACTGCGAGCATTGGCTTGAATAGATCAGCGCATGCCGTGTGTTTATGTAAGCTGTGTTTATTAATACATTTCGAAACGTATTAATAACCGTCGTTGACAATACATGATTGATGATCAATCGAAGATTTTTTTTTATTTTTTTTTTTAGTTGATTACTATTCCTATTCTGAATTTTTGTTACAACTTCTTAATAAAGCTCTTATATGACCTATGTTTACATAACATTCTTTTCTTACTTTGTGCCATAGAATATACTGACAATAAATAATAATAATAATAAATAATAAGAATAAACCTGGGACACCCTGTATAGAGATAGAGCCGAGAAACAAACGGAATAGCTCAGACAGACAGAGGAAAGAGAAAAGAGCAAGAGAAAACTGTACGGACAAAAAAATGAAATCGTCGCGGCTGGTGTTGATGCGCCCCTTTGACTGGTGTCCATGGGTCAGGTGTGTAATATTCAGTGTCCCGTGTTGTGTTGTGCGTGTGTGTTCGTGTATCATAGAGACTAGAGGCTAGTAGTAATACGTCGGAAGCCCGTCGAACAGCGACCAGAGCTTTCTTCTCGTCCGTTCTCGCGGGCTCGGTCGCCGTTCGGTCGGCTTTCGGTTCTCGTCGCAAGCACGCCGCCGGTCGAGAAAGTACGGCGACGTATCGCGAAAGCGAAGCCGAAGCCTTTCGAAGGCTTTTCTTCACGTCGTAGACGGTCGGTACTTTTGTCGGTGGGGGAGGCGTGCATGGCCGTGATCAAATTCTACGATTCTCGAAAAAGGCTCGGACGGCTGCGCACCGCTGGCGGTGCGAGCGTCCTGCGGAGTTTCGTGTCGAGTCAAAGGATTTTTTGCCGTGCGAAGACAACACCGAGCTTCGACATTTCGAGCCTCTTGAGTCCTCGTCGGAAGCTTCGGTCTCGTCGGAATCATCGTTCGGAGCATATTCTCGGAACTGTTTCATCGAATTTAGCGATCGGATCGCGAGATATCCGGAGCGAACGTTTCTCGCGAACGCGCTCGTCCGGGGTTTGAGTCGACAGGACACCATTCTACTCTTCGAACAAACCAGAAAACAAAATGGCAACGCTCTACTTCCATTCTAATAAGCATAAGTGACCAGGGCGGCGGTCTAAGGAACTGTCCGGACGCCGCTCGATTTCCGTTTACTCTTCCGGTCGTTTCTGGATCGCGATCGAGCGGCGTCCGGATCGTTTCTCGGCCCGAGGCCGGCCCGATTCGCCGCCCGTTTCGATGCGTCTCGGGCCGGCCGGCCTGGCCTCCAAGCGCGTATATATATACGTATATACGTTCTTTCGATAGTCTGTTCGATGGAGGGGTTGTTTGTTGGCATGGTGGAGCTTACCCTCACGCCGAAAGCGGCGATCTTCAGTATGCACTCGACGGTGAACATCCCCGTGAAGCACATGTTCATGTACTTCAGCGTGTTCTTGTACGCGTCGCTTTGCCGATGGAACTGCAATGCATACACTGACAACACACACGGCCGACAGAGACAAACAAACATACGTACAAGCGTTATAGAATCGCGTGTTCGCGCGGACGCGGTCTCGCGGACGAAGGCGATCGGGTTTCGTTCGCCGATCGCGATCCCCCTTTCCCCCCCGGGTCATCGCGATTTCGGGGGGGAAAGGGGATCGCTCTCCCTTCTGCTTTCATCCCTCTACTCTCCTGTCTCTCCCTCTCTCTTTCTTTCTCTCTCGGTCTCTCCCTTCGCTGTCTGAATCAATCTATTCATTTCCCGAGCCGATATCTCATTTTTCCAACGTTTCGATATTTCTACAATGTTTTTTTATAGATCTTCGAAATACCATGCATGGTATAAATGATTCTTTAAACTATGCTTTTGTTAGAAATTGGAACATGTAAACGAATCTGTAACTATTCCAATGTCTATAGTCTCTTTCTATAACATCCCGCGGACGTTGGAATGAAATCGTAAGTGAAATAAGTTCGTGTATGGTCAGACGGAAAGTACAGTAGCGTGTAAAATCTGTAATTTGCACGGTGTATATATATATACACATATAACGACGTCTTGCAATCGACAGAGACAGAGAGAGACAGTCGTGAAGAGAGAGAAAGAGAAGGAGAGAGAGAGAGATAGGGAGAGAGAAAGAGAGAGAATAAAATAGAGGAAGAGACACATAGGTGTATAATATTAGCGTTAACCTAGATACGTGTATCTGTACGACCCTACCAAGTGTGTACGGCGTAACGATCACATTAAAGAGATTGTTTCTTTTCTTCTATTGCCAGGGTGACTAGGGGACAGGTTTACAGAGTACTTGTACATTACGTGTTGCTGAGTGTGCTATGGAGGGGCCGTGTCAGCACTCGGTGTCAACGAATCGGAAATAGTTCGCTCGGAAACGACCGTATTACCGTGATACAGCGGTTGATAGAATTCTCCGGTTGCGAAGAAGAACGCCGCGTGTCACGTGATCACAGTTTCGAGATGCTGTCGTCTAAAGTTCTCGTCGCTGTAACGTTTCGTATAAACCCCTTGGGTACATCCGACGAGCGAGACTCGTGATGCGTTTGCTTCGCCTAAGTTACGTATGACGAGACTAATTCGTCGTTCAAACTAGTCAATCAAACTTTTAATTACCGCGTATATTACATCGCTCGAATAAATGGATTCTCGCACAAGATCTATCGCCTTTATGCAAGGTGTCCCAAAATTATGGTACTTCTGGGAAATGAGGGGTTTCTGGGGTTATTTGAAGTAATTTTTTCAGTAGCGGGAAATTAAAGATTCTTGAGATCATTTGAAGCAACTTTGTCCTTTACAAAAATTTTCTCCGCGGCTTTGTTTATGAGTTATCGACGAAAAACAGTGACCAATGAGGGGGCGAGTTCGGCTGACGCGAGGTGACCGAGCCAATCAGCGGAACCGGGCTTCGTCCACTCGTTGGCTCTGTCGTCTCGCTCCGCCTCGATCCGCCTCGCGCCAGCCGAGCTCGCCTCTCATTGGTCAGTGTTTTTCGTTAATAACTCGTTAACGATGCCTCGGAGAACATTTCTGTAAAGGAGGAAGTTGCTTCGAATGACCTCAGGAATCTCTAATTTCCCGGAAGTAACATAATTTTGAGACATTATGTGAACTATTTCGTGCATCAGCAAATTAAATCCGTTCTAAACGCAAGAATTTTTCCAAATAAGCCCGCACCCAAGCGGTTAATAATGTTTGATTACTTTCTCGAGTCCACCTAATTTATTTTTATGATCTTTCTTCCGACGACTAGATAAATTCTATATTCTATAGCTCAATGTATGCACGAACCAAAATTTTCTGAAATTGCGACATGCGGCAATTTTCTCACAGCCATAAAATTCATTGCACCGTCTCTATTGCATAATGATGCTAATATATCCAGCAGTTATTCTAAGACTTGCTCTTCACAATTGAAACGTTTCCGGACATAAAACTCGATAGATTACTCGTCGATACCGATAAATGACCCGCTTTCCGTCCGATTTCACCAATTTTATCTTCCGATCGGTCTCTGCGGCAACGCTGGCGAACTATAATTACCGCGTTAAGCGTGGAGTCAAATTTGCTGGGTTTTCCGTTAGGGCGACAGATCGGTGCATTATTTCTTAATTTTTATAGCGATCCTATGCGTCGATGCCGTGCAAACGATAGGTTCGCCGTCAGTCTCTGGGCACTGACGCCGCCGGAAAAAAGTAGTCTTTTTTTAAGTAGTCTCTTTTTTTAGCCGGAAAAAAGTCAGTCCGAGTCAAGAGTCATGCCGCCAAAGTGAAAAGCCCACTGTCAGTCCGAGGGGACTGACGCCGCCCAAATGAAAAGTCCACTGTGAGTCCGTGGGGACTGACGCCGCCCAAACGGAAAGCCCACTGTCAGGCCCAGGGGTCTGACGCCGCGCTTAATGTGTTAATACCAATCACCGAGCAACAGAGTCAAGTTCGCCGTCAGTCCCTGGGAACTGACGCCGCCCAAATGAAAAGTCCACTGTCAGTCCGTGGGGACTGACGCCGCCCAAACGGAAAGCCCGCTATCAGGCCCAGGGGTCCGACGTCGCGCTTATCGTGTTAATACCAATCACCGATCAACAGAGGCAACACTGTGCCGACACGGCCGACTGCCAAACAGGACTCCGGGGAAGACCGACCCGTTAGAATCGAGTCCGACGATCGCGGCTGACCGAGGCGGCCCAGTCCTCGAAGCTCTCGACCGGGCCGTCTCGGCGTGTCGCGACCAGGATTTGGCTGATTGGGCTGGTGATTCGAGTGTCCGGGGAAGCGACAGTCGAGGACCCGCCACGGGTGGGACAGGGTCGGTCTACGGCAAGAACAGAACGGTCTAAGGAACGCAAACAAGGTGAACCGAAAAGAGGCGAACAGAACAACACAAGACACCCGGTCGGGCGGCCGAAGGAACTCGTCTAAGAAAGACGAAGCCGAGGGGTCGAAGGCCTCCCCTTCGATTCGGGCGTCTTCTTCCCGATGGCCCAGGCCCGCTCACCCCCCGGCTCGAACATGTTTAGGGTGGAGGGTTTTGCGGAGGAAGGGGTGGATCGAGTCGTGCGGACGCCCCGTGCAAACAAACGTGTCTCCGGCGTGGAACGAAAAACACACACATTCAGCGGAGTGGAAATCCGAGGGATCGCGTGTCCCGGTCACGTGGGCCCGGTGTGGGTCCCACCGAGGTGCGGCGATCGATCTCTTTGCGCGAGCAGCTCAGCAACGTTAGCATGCGATACGCGCGCGGTCCCAGCGGCCGCGACATCTCTCAGCACGATGCGTGCGTGTTCCGAACATTTACGTGCCTGCGGGACGCGGGGAGAACCGGAGAACTCGGCAGCCGATCCGCGGGAATTAGTTTAACAAGTTTCAGCGAGCTTGGAAAAGTCGTTCGAAGTTTTTGGAGACGTCGAAGCGACGATCAAAACGTCTGCGAAAGGCTGCGCGATTCTCGAGCGGGTCTCCTCGCTCCACCAAGGACATTCAAACACCGTGTGACACCACCCGTGTGCGCTCCATTCCCAAGACCATGTGTGCAAGTAACGTGTGTGCCAGTGACTCCGTGACGCAACGCATGCCCAGCGTCGTGTTCAGGCAATTCTACCCCGTAGCGCCTCGTTAGACGATTCTCGTTTGATCAGAGGACCAGAGGTTCCCTCCTTCGATTAGGCTAGCCGATTGATAGGACATCGTCGAACGAGACGCCGTGGTAGACTGTTTGGAGGGGTTGAAATCATAAGGGTGGAGAAAACGCGAGAATCAACGATATTCGGGGCAGCTACCCTTTGCGGACACGAAAGATGCGGGGTAAATGTTCTTTGCTTTTAGTTGCGAGTTTTGAATGTTGCTTGCTATTTTTTGGGGCAAGAAGAAGGCCGCGGATGTCTATAGAGTTAGTTTACTCGAAAAAGATGTGTAAATTTATAAACAATGTAAATTTATACTAAACTTATCGGTCGAAAACCGACTCGTTTCGCATTTTGTTCTTTTGAAATCGTTTCAATTAGCAAGACGCGTTCACAGGAAACAATAAATTTTTTAATCAAAGCACGTGGATTATGAAAAAAAAGATGACGAAATTTCTGAATATAAATTTCTAATGATAACAATTTACAATAATTTCTAAATAAAGCTTTGGCGTTGAACGATCGATGGCACAACAGTTGCAGAAACTGAAAAATCACATTCCGACGGTACATTTCGCTCGAAAATTGTTCGACGACGAGTAGAAAAAAATGCTCGTATGTTGACGATAAATCGAGAATATTAATTTTGTAATTTCTCGTCGGCCCGCAAAGGGTGCAGCTGCTCCTCGGCCGCGGTCGAAGCGTAGCGTAGTCCTCGGACGCGTTTAGTCGGCCAGCTCTTTTTTGTGCGTTCGCAGCCAGCACGACGAAAGTAAACAGTGAGAACGGAAACAGAGAGAGGCAGAAAGGCACAGAAATACGGTAATAGACAGACAGAGAGAAAGAGCAAGAGTGAGAGAGAGATAGTGAGAGTGAGAGAGAAAAATAGAGCAAAGAAGGAAAGAGAAACAGTGCTGTAAAAGTGGTGTTGCGGAGTAGTCGCGCGGTGCCAGGGCTCTCGTATGTCGCAGCTCTTTTGTCCGTGGTCGTTTGTTCGAACGCGTTGGAACGCGCGCGGAAAGAAAAAAGATCGGATATCGCAAGCCAGTGGTTCGTGCACGGCTTCGAACCCCGCCACCAGTTCAAGCATGGTTTTCGTCGAGGCGCGCGAGTCGAACACGCGGCTTTCCGTGTCCTTAGAGAAATCGGTGTTTCTGTGGTTTCGTGTGGAACGGCCAAGGGGATCGGAGTCGGGCAACTTTCTCTGTCGAGATCGTAGATTCGCGTCTTCTCTGTCCACGAAGGGCGAAGTAATTTTTCCCGGCGGCTTTCGCGCCGCGAGCATCGAATCGCGCGGCTTATCGCATTTGTCCTGCTCGTCGATTTTTTGGCTCCTGCCAAGAGATTCGCCGTCCCTCGAGGACATCGAAAGACGGTCAGGGACAGAGAAGACGCCAACTAGGTAACTGGAGGAACGAAGAACGAAAAGTCGACTGCTGGAAATACACGCACCGAAAAAGTACAAAGAAACAACAGGGGAAGCGGGGAACGTCGAAGGAATGCGAGATCGGCGATAGTGCCAGCGCGAGACGCCTTTAAGCACGACGATCAAAGTTGGTAATAATAATTTCTATCTTTCTATCTTTTCTAGAACTTGTCCATCTAATCGAGAAACGATCTAGTTATCATGATCGATAGAAATTCTCAGGACGCGCAATAAAAATGTACAGAACGGATAAACGCTGTCGCGTCGTTGCTGCCACGGCGCGGCTCGTAAAAAGATCGTATAAAATTACAACGATTTATTATTGTATATTATTTAATTTATGTAATTATTTACTATTTATTATTTAATTTATTATTACTTATTTATTCACGATACCAGAATTCAGAAGACACGATTAACCGCAGCGATTAATTCCGCGATAGACTGCAATGAAATTTCATTCATTTGATAGACTCGAATGAAATTTGAGTACTATTTTTATGTAATAAAAATTGAGTAAAATTTTTATATAATAAAAAAAGGCCCGTCATCCACGTGTGACAGATTCCGCAATGAAAATATTAACGAAGTCTTCATCGGAGAACGTGTTTCTTGCTTCGACCGTTCTCCCGATTCTCGCGGAACAATTTCCAACGCAACGAACAATTCATCAGGGCGCGCGTCGCGGTTCAATTTGTACCAAAAAACAGGCTCGCGCAGGCACCGTCTGGGAAAGAAATCGTCTCGATCCGGAGAGGAGTTGAAAATTCGGCACGGAACAGAAGAAGCGTCGAGATCGTGAAACTGAAAGATCGGAGACCTCCGATCGAGACGTCCGCTGAAGGGGTTGAAAAGACGAAAGATTGGCGCAGAAAAGACAGAGAAAGAAAAGAGAGAAAAGAGAGAAGAAGAGAAGAGCACAGAAAGAAAGAAAGAAAGAAAGGGGGGGAGACAGGTGGCTGACAGGTATATCCAGAAGGTCGGGACACGCAAGAGTATCCAACACAGCTGTGTACACGTACCAATGGATAATATAACAAGGATGACAATTATACAGAGAGCAATAAATAAATTGGCAGGCAAGAACAACAATGTCCTCGTACAGATATAACGTAATATATGTCTTACGCTCGGTTCGAACGGTCCGTTGCGCGCGGACGACCACGTGCTGTCGCCGACGGTCTCTCGTTTAAACGTTATCTCGATCGACGATCTTCGGGCTGCTTTTCGTTTTATCAGTTCGTTCTATCGTGACCGCGCGCGATTCGTTCCGAGTTCACGGGAGAAAATCGAGCACACACGCGCGCGCGCGCGCGCTTACGTACACAGTCGTGTGAGTGTGTATGGGGGCGGGGACGGGACAAGTAATCGGAGGAACGCCGGGACGTCCGGGAATCGCTTTTGCGAACGCGATTCCCGGATCCCCGCGATCTCCCAAGGCTCGCGGGGGATGAAACGAGAGTCGGGGGCGCGAGAAATCGGTTGCGGAAACGGCGCGGCGCGACGCGTCGCGACGATCGACTCGACTGCGATCGTTTCCATCGACCGGCCGTGTTTGCGTTCCCGCGCAATCCTTTTACCTGACGCGCTGGTCTCAACCCTTGGCACCCCGTTGCACCTGGCGCGGGTCGCGAGAGGCTGCACGCGTCCGCTGGATCTCAGCGAAAGGGACATTTTGATTTAATTTAGACATTTCTGGTACTATAAATATAATATATATATACAGGGTGTTCCACAATTATTTCAACAGCCGAAAATGAGGGGTAGCTGAGGTAGATGTGTATAAGAGACAGCTGTATAATTGTCATCCTTGTTATATTATCCATTGGTACGTGTACCTGTCTCTTATACACATCTACCTCAGCTACCCCTCATTGTCGGCTGTTGAAATAATTGTGGAACACCCTGTATCTGTCTCTTATACACATCTACCTCAGCTACCCCTCATTGTCGGCTGTTGAAATAATTGTGGAACACCCTGTATCTGTCTCTTATACACATCTACCTCAGCTACCCCTCATTGTCGGCTGTTGAAATAATTGTGGAACACCCTGTATCTGTCTCTTATACACATCTACCTCAGCTACCCCTCATTGTCGGCTGTTGAAATAATTGTGGAACACCCTGTATCTGTCTCTTATACACATCTACCTCAGCTACCCCTCATTGTCGGCTGTTGAAATAATTGTGGAACACCCTGTATCTGTCTCTTATACACATCTACCTCAGCTACCCCTCATTGTCGGCTGTTGAAATAATTGTGGAACACCCTGTATCTGTCTCTTATACACATCTACCTCAGCTACCCCTCATTGTCGGCTGTTGAAATAATTGTGGAACACCCTGTATCTGTCTCTTATACACATCTACCTCAGCTACCCCTCATTGTCGGCTGTTGAAATAATTGTGGAACACCCTGTATCTGTCTCTTATACACATCTACCTCAGCTACCCCTCATTGTCGGCTGTTGAAATAATTGTGGAACACCCTGTATCTGTCTCTTATACACATCTACCTCAGCTACCCCTCATTGTCGGCTGTTGAAATAATTGTGGAACACCCTGTATCTGTCTCTTATACACATCTACCTCAGCTACCCCTCATTGTCGGCTGTTGAAATAATTGTGGAACACCCTGTATCTGTCTCTTATACACATCTACCTCAGCTACCCCTCATTGTCGGCTGTTGAAATAATTGTGGAACACCCTGTATCTGTCTCTTATACACATCTACCTCAGCTACCCCTCATTGTCGGCTGTTGAAATAATTGTGGAACACCCTGTATCTGTCTCTTATACACATCTACCTCAGCTACCCCTCATTGTCGGCTGTTGAAATAATTGTGGAACACCCTGTATCTGTCTCTTATACACATCTACCTCAGCTACCCCTCATTGTCGGCTGTTGAAATAATTGTGGAACACCCTGTATCTGTCTCTTATACACATCTACCTCAGCTACCCCTCATTGTCGGCTGTTGAAATAATTGTGGAACACCCTGTATCTGTCTCTTATACACATCTACCTCAGCTACCCCTCATTGTCGGCTGTTGAAATAATTGTGGAACACCCTGTATCTGTCTCTTATACACATCTACCTCAGCTACCCCTCATTGTCGGCTGTTGAAATAATTGTGGAACACCCTGTATCTGTCTCTTATACACATCTACCTCAGCTACCCCTCATTGTCGGCTGTTGAAATAATTGTGGAACACCCTGTATCTGTCTCTTATACACATCTACCTCAGCTACCCCTCATTGTCGGCTGTTGAAATAATTGTGGAACACCCTGTATCTGTCTCTTATACACATCTACCTCAGCTACCCCTCATTGTCGGCTGTTGAAATAATTGTGGAACACCCTGTATCTGTCTCTTATACACATCTACCTCAGCTACCCCTCATTGTCGGCTGTTGAAATAATTGTGGAACACCCTGTATCTGTCTCTTATACACATCTACCTCAGCTACCCCTCATTTTCGGCTGTTAAAATAATCGTGGAACACCCTGTATATTATATTATATTATATATAATATATATTAATATAAATTGCTATATACGATGGCTATATATATATATATATACGATAGCGGCGCATCTAGACTCTCGTGATCGATTCAGTGGCGATTTAACCCTTACACTGTCAACAGAAGATATATTGTTGTCGGCTACACCCGAGAAAATATTTACGTTCCTTCTTGGATTTTCTAATTATCAACTGTTACAACATTCGCGTAACTTCGTTCTGACACCTTGCCAAATTATATCAAACAGGTTCGTATAAATTTTAATGGAACATTGTCCTTGTGTGGTCGGCAGTAGAAGGGTTAAAAGAACCGCCGGAACGAACGAACGGCGTTTTTTTAATCGCAGTAACAAGAGCGTTGCACCGGGACGCCAAGGGCAACTGTAAATCGTGAACGACCAGCGGCTGCAACGAAGTGGTTGTTAACCCCTTCTCTCGAAGGTTCTGTCTCTTCCGGGCGATGGAAACGGATCGTGGACAGCTTACCTTCATCATGAGCAGTAACGTGTTTAATACGATGAGACCCATGATAAAATATTCGAAGGGCGTCGATACCACTATCTTCCAGATTCTGAACTTGACGCTGTTGCGCTCTTTCGGCATGTACCTTTCCAGCGGGCGGGCCTGTATCGTGAAGTCTATGCAAGATTTCTGAAAGAGAGAGAGAGAGAGGTCGACGAGATTTTTACGTGAACGTCGACGCTTCCGGTTCGCGGGGATCGATCGTCCATGGGGCGACGATGATGTTGTACGTACGTACCTGATTTTTATCGATTTCGCCGTCTTGCAGTTCGGCCTCTCCCTGCTCCTGGAAAGTGATGATGATCAAGGCCACGAAGATGTTCACGAAGAAGAATGGAAAGACGATGAAGTAGACGATGTAGAAAATGGACATTTCTATACGAAAGTTCTGGATGGGGCCCTTGTCCTCGTACGTGGCCGCCATCGAGTTCTGCAGGATCTGCGGCCAGCCCTCGCCGGTCTGCACCGCGAACAACGTCAGCATCGCCGCCATCACGTTGTCGTAGTGAAAGCTTTGGGAGAGCCATTCGCGCTTTTTCGGCTCCGGCAGCATGGCTCCCTCATCGAAAACGAAATATTGACCCCTGCGGGCAGAGAACGACCGGTTAGTCGTGGTCGATTCCAAACTGATCTGCCAACTCGACGACAAAAAGGACAACGTTTAAACTTGAAAAATAGAGTAATTATTTAGACTGCGGATCTTTGGATCTAGATAAAATCTAGACACCCTTATCGTTAATTATAAATTCCATAGGATTTCACGTTTATTCCTGTCGGATTATATTTTGCGTACGCGACAGGCGAACGCAGAAAGTGTAACGAAAAGCATAGAATCCCAGGAATTTTCTGGATCCGCAGTCGAGGATACGCTGCAGAAACGGTCGATGAATACTGTAAGTGGCTCGTGGGACATTCATCGTCGTTTTCGATACTCACTGGCAATCGTGTTCCGTATACTTGCTCTCGTCGGTACAGTAGAAGAATTTCCCGTTGAACAGCTGCACCGCGATCACAGCGAAAATGAATTGGAACAATATATACACTATGAGAATGTTAATGACGTTTTTCAGACTGTTCACCACGCAGTCGAAGACCGCCTTCAGCTTCGGCACTCTCTTAATCGTCTTCAACGGTCTGAGCACACGCAGCACCCTGAGCGACTTGATAGTCGAGAGGTTCTGTCCGGCCGAGCTGCCGGTCATGTCGAACGCGAACGACACCGCGGCGCATATCACCACCACCGCGTCCATAATGTTCCAGAATTCGCGGAGATACGAGCCCGGGTGCAGGATGATCCCGAGATCGATGATCTTCAGTATCATCTCGACGGTGAAGACACCGGTGAACGCGTAGTCGAAATAGTTCAGGACCTCGTTCCTCGGCGAGTCCTCCCACACCGGATCCTCGGCGGCCAACGCGATACTCGACAGCGATATCACCACCATTATGAAGAAGTCGAAGTACCTCAGGTTGACCACCCAATGGGCGGCTCTTCTTACGCTGCGAACATCATCGGATATCATTGTTTTCCTCTCGCTACTCTACAGGGTTGCCCAAAAATGTTTTGCAATCTGAAAGTGGCGGGTTCCTTAGGTCGTTTGAAGCAACTTTTTCCTTTACAAAAATTTTCTACGAGGCACCGTTAACGAGTTATTAACGAAAAACAGTGACCAATGAGGGGGCGAGCTCGGCTGACGCGAGGCGGAACCGGGCTTCGTCCGCTCATTGGCTTTGTCGTCTCGCTCCGCCTCGCGCCAGCTGAGCTCGCCTCTCATTGGTCAGTGTTTTTCGTTAATAACTCGATAACGGTGCCTCGTAGAAAATTTTTGTAAAGGAAAAAGTTGCTTCAAACGACCTAAGGAACCCGCCACTTTCGGATCTGTCTCTTATACACATCTAGATGTGTATAAGAGACAGCTCGTTAACGGTGTCTCGGAGAAAATTTTTGTAAAGGAAAAAGTTGCTTCAAACGACCTAAGGAACCCGCCACTTTCGGATCTGTCTCTTATACACATCTAGATGTGTATAAGAGACAGCTCGTTAACGGTGTCTCGGAGAAAATTTTTGTAAAGGAAAAAGTTGCTTCAAACGACCTAAGGAACCCGCCACTTTCGGATCTGTCTCTTATACACATCTAGATGTGTATAAGAGACAGCTCGTTAACGGTGTCTCGGAGAAAATTTTTGTAAAGGAAAAAGTTGCTTCAAACGACCTAAGGAACCCGCCACTTTCGGATCTGTCTCTTATACACATCTAGATGTGTATAAGAGACAGCTCGTTAACGGTGTCTCGGAGAAAATTTTTGTAAAGGAAAAAGTTGCTTCAAACGACCTAAGGAACCCGCCACTTTCGGATCTGTCTCTTATACACATCTAGATGTGTATAAGAGACAGCTCGTTAACGGTGTCTCGGAGAAAATTTTTGTAAAGGAAAAAGTTGCTTCAAACGACCTAAGGAACCCGCCACTTTCGGATCTGTCTCTTATACACATCTAGATGTGTATAAGAGACAGCTCGTTAACGGTGTCTCGGAGAAAATTTTTGTAAAGGAAAAAGTTGCTTCAAACGACCTAAGGAACCCGCCACTTTCGGATCTGTCTCTTATACACATCTAGATGTGTATAAGAGACAGCTCGTTAACGGTGTCTCGGAGAAAATTTTTGTAAAGGAAAAAGTTGCTTCAAACGACCTAAGGAACCCGCCACTTTCGGATCTGTCTCTTATACACATCTAGATGTGTATAAGAGACAGCTCGTTAACGGTGTCTCGGAGAAAATTTTTGTAAAGGAAAAAGTTGCTTCAAACGACCTAAGGAACCCGCCACTTTCGGATCTGTCTCTTATACACATCTAGATGTGTATAAGAGACAGCTCGTTAACGGTGTCTCGGAGAAAATTTTTGTAAAGGAAAAAGTTGCTTCAAACGACCTAAGGAACCCGCCACTTTCGGATTGCGAGACATTTTTGGGACACTCTGTGTAATAGAAGTATAACACCGCGGAATATAACTATAGCATCGCCACAACTTTCAAGAGTCTCGGGCACATTTATTCAAGGTCTCCAATATCAAATTATCTCTATTTCGATATTAATTGATTATATTACAAGGCGATGCCTTCTTCATTTTTCAAACAAAGCGAGAGGACAAATTATTTGGTTTCAAATATTTGAAATATTTTTTCCTCCATATCTTCCCCTATTTTTGGTACCACAACGTGACAGCTGAGGTCAATGACCTACAATGCAACGATCCTTGCGTGATCTCGAGTATCAAATAATCTTTTTTCGGCCCTGATGCGAATAATAAAGTAGCTACACGAATGAAAAAAAAATAAATCTCTTGGTTGTAGCGTTGTAAGTTAAATCTGTAAAACATAGTGCTACAGCTATGCTCTACGACGTAGTCCGAAATCAGGCTTACGGATTCGTAGGGGACAGTATAAACATGGAGGAGTATGGCAGCATTGGTTTTGGTCCCGTGTCATCGTCTTCATCCTGCTTTTTCTCTTCGGACGACTGCTTCCCACCTTTTCCGTCTTTGCTGAAATCGCAAATAGTTCTCGGTCAATCTCCGCCGAACTTATCAATTCTACATTGATACCATGACACCAAGACCAGCATGGAGAGGTACTTTAAAGACTGCTTACAAGTTCTGGGTCGGGCTCGGAGGGCAGACGGCCACCTTGGGCGGGCTACCGTCTTTCGGCTTCTGCAAGGACTCGATCTCCTTCACGAGTTCCTGCGCCTGCTTCTCCTTGTCCTCGACGTTCTCCTCGTCCTCGGCGGCGCTCAGCTCCTGTGCGTTCGCCAGATTGTCCACGGCGATAGCCAAGAACACGTTCAGCAGCGTGTAGTTGCCGAAGAGCACCAGCACGATGAAGTAGAGCGAGTACACCATGCCCCTCCTGTGACCGCCTTGCGACTCGATACCTTGGTACATCACTTCGTTCCAATCTTCTCCGGTCAGGATCTGTGGATCGACGTCGTTACAGTTATTCGTATATCTCGACGATCGTCGCGGCGTACTCGTCACCATACTCGATGGGAAAGACCCGAGGAAAGGCCATGTCTCGTGTCTTCTTTCCTTTTAAAGCTCGATGTTCGACAAATTTGCAAATTGCTCGCTGCCTTGTCATCGGATTGCGGATCTTCGCGCGGAATAAAAATTCGAAATGCGTACTCTACTTCGACGAGTCATTTTCTCCGGTTACACGGATTTTATTTCGAGATCGTTGACGTTAGAGAAACTCCTTTGTACGACACGATTGCGAAGATAGCTCGATTCGAGCGTACATTATAATATGAAAGCAGAAATCTTCGCATAAATTCAGTCTCGCCACTTTTATTAAAGAGTTTTATAGACAGTTTTAGCGCTCGGAAAATTCAGAACAATGTAACAGTACAGTAATGTCTCCCTAATTGACGCTCAGATTGCGCAGAAAAATGGACAATTTGGGAAGGGAAGATGCGATTATTCGAGTCTTCGAATCGGTAATTATAAAAACAAGGCGCAAGACTCGAATTAACCCCTTAATGCACAGTTTTTTTGAAAAAAACCGGCCGAAAAAATCAATTTTGATCTTCCGATTCGACTGTTCTTTTGGTGGAGAATTTTGATACACTGCGCTTTTGTTCCATGGAAAAAGGTAATATTTTATTTTTGAATAAATAAGTAGTATAGCTTACAATCCCATACAAATGATAAATATCAATAGAACGATTTTTTTTCTTTGCTTTCACATTGCTATTTTCAATTCTCGATTATCAAGTGTGAAAAATTATCGCGGCATAAACTACAACGCCGCTCGAATTACCTCGAGTGTGCACAGTTTTTGGCCTGTTTAGCGCGCTCGAATTAAGCTCGAGCGTACAAGTCGAGGGGTTAATCGTATCTCCTCTTCCCAAATTGTCCATTTTTCTAATCTGAACGTCAGTTAGGGAATTATTATTATTATTCTTCTCTCTCTCTCTCTTCTTCTCTCTATTATTATTCTTCTTCTAATTATTATTATTATTCTATATATATATATTATTCTGAAATTTCTCGCAACGATTTCACGATCTTGTGTTTCATCTACTCGCGAAGATCTAGAATCCGCAGTCCAATGATCGTCGTTGCAAAATCGTGCGCCCCTGGGACGTCGAAGATCTTGCAACCGACGCAAACGCATAGAAAGATACGTCGATCGTGGCTCGGTATACTCACTTGGAAGACAGTGAGCAGCGCGATGGGAAAGGTGTTGAAGTTTGTGGGCGGCGTGCCGTACTCGAAATTGAACTGGCCGCCGAAGAGCTGCATGCCGAGCAGAGCGAATATGAGAATGAAGAGGAAGAGCAGGAAGAGCAGGGAGATGATGCTACGCATCGAGCTGAGCAGCGATATTACGAGGTTCCTCAGGCTCTTCCAGTATTTGGTGACCTTAAAAATTCGCAGGAGTCTAAGGGCACGTAGGACGGAGAGGCCGAAAGAGCCGGACTTCAACGCGGACCAGATCACTTCGAAGATCGATCCGGAGATCACCACGCAGTCGAAACGATTGAAGCTCGACTCGAAGTATGTGCGGGGGCCGAGCGCGTACACCTTGATGAACATCTCCATCATGAACAGAGCCAGGAACACGAACTCCGCGAAGTCTGAAAAGCATTTCGATTGTTAGAATTGATTTTGCTGGAATGTCTCCTCCGATTCGGACAGGATCTCGGGGGACGGATAAGGAAGAGCGAAGGGCGGGGGGTCGAAGATCAGGGTCGTCAGGGCTGAGATGCTTACAGAGGAATTCGGTGAGCCATTGCGGCTGGCCGTAGTGCTCGACGGCGACGCACACGGTGTTGAAGAACACAAGAACGATCACGAACCAGTAGAACTTTTGCGACTTGACGGAGTTCCGGATCCAGAACCTGAACCTCTTCTCGGCCCGCCAGAACTGCACGCAGGTCCCTTTGTCTTTCGCCCTCGGCTTCATGTAGGAAGATCTCGAGTACCCTGCAAGCGACAAACAAATCGTTTCAGTGTTCGCCCGGTGGGTAACCGGGGCCGCCGCTCTTCGGGGCGTTCTCTCTCGCGACGCCCAGTCGATCGATCGTTATTTTCGTATTCGTCGAGGGTGAAATTTCGAACGCTCGGCGGAACATCGAGCGGCTACCGAAAGATTATTCCTTTTCCCGTGGATAATCGATGATCGACTGGGGCGATACTCGCATTTCGATTTTACTCGATTCGCACGCGGCATATGCGCAGGACGGAGGACAAGAGACACGTCTATTTCTAAGCGGTACTTTACTAACAAAGCGGACGTATGTCTTTCTCTCTCTCTCCCTCTCTCTCTCTCTCTTTCTCTATGCACGGATCAACGATGCGTGTGACTAATCTATTTCGCTAGTCGTGTAAAGTACTTCGACCCAGTCCGTCGTCTGTGTCGCACCCCTCTATGGGACGGCACCTATTTCTGGCGGTCTATTTTTCGTCGAATCGATCCTCTCGCGCGCCCCGCGCTTCTAATTGTTCTACGGTATTCGGATATAAGGCTGCTCGCCGGGTACACCAACTATGCTTCTACCTAATGCCGCTCGAAAATATTTCAACCTTCGTGCCGCCGCGGCGGTCGAACTTTCGTTCTGCCGATTTCTCTGCGGAACTTTCGCCAAACCGGGAACAAATGTTTAGATTTTTCGATGCTCGGATTTAGAGTTAGATGTCTAGATTTGGGATCGGATGGCAGAAAATTGACAAACTATAGATGCAGTAAAGTCTCCTTAATTGACGCTCAGATTGGGCAGAGCAATGGACAATTTGGGAAGAAGAGTTATAGTCGTTGACAATTCGTAACTATAAAAATGAACAGCAAGGATCGAGTAATCGTATCTTCTCTTCCCAAATTGTCCATTTTTGTGGACAATCCGAGCGTCAATTAGAGAGACATTACTGCATTTGGCTCGCAGTAATAGATACAGTAATGTCTCCCTAATTGACGCTCGGATTGTCCACAAAAGTGGACAATTTAAGAAGAAAGAGACACGATTATGCGAGCCTTGGGGCTCGTTTTTATAGTCGTTGACAATTCGTAACTATAGAAATGAACAGCAAGGATCGAGTAATCGTATCTTCTCTTCCCAAATTGTCCATTTTTGTGGACAATTTGACAGGAAAGAGACACGATTATTCGAGCAGTGTGATTGGTTTTTATAACTGTTGACTATCGGTGACCATAAAAACTAATCGCAAAGCTCAAATAATCGAATCTCCTCTTCCCAAATTGTCCACGTTTGTGCACAATTTCGGCGTCAATTAGGGAGACATTACCATACTGGGACCTCGAACCGGTCTGCGAGAAAAGTACAGTGATGTCTCCCTAACTGACGCTTAGATTGTGCAGAAAAATGGACAATTTGGGAACAGAAGATACGATTATTCCGGCTTTGCACCGTGTTTTTACAATCGTTGACAATCGGTAATCATAAAAACAAGTCGCAAGGCTCCTCATCCCAAATTACCCATTTTAGTGGACAATCTGTGCGTCAGTAAGGGAGACATTGCTGTAAATATTTCTCGTCGACGAATACTTCTTCGCCGCGATGCTAAGAGAAATTGAACGGTCGTTCGCGAGTTGGAACAGTTTCGAGCGGCCGTGTATATATGCGCGTGGACATCGTGGGCCCCGCCTGGAACCACGTGGACACTGTATGCCCCGCCTAGACCACGTGGACGCGCATATCGTCGCCCGATTCGCGCTCGCGAATCCGTGCCTCATCGTTTCTTCGCGAACGCTCTCGGGCGACTTTCGACAAACACAGAAGGACACGAACACACGTATAAAAATACATATATATATGAGCCGTTTATTTTGAAAGTGGCATAAGTCACTTTGCTTTAAAGTCGATATATTCAAGGGTTTGCGCGTTTTAACAGGTTTAAAAATATGGATGCTAATTTTCGAGAAGATTTACTTGTATTCGTTATCTCGGGATACTGATATTTTTCTCGGTATAAATAATTTCGTATAAACATGAAAAAATCACCACTATTCATTACGGTAAAGGTATAGGTTTAAACATATGGATGCTAATTTTCGAGAAGATTTACTTGTATTCGTTATCTCAGGATACTGATATTTTTCTTAGTATAAATAATTTCGTATAAACATGAAAAAATCACCACTATTCATTACGGTAAAGTGACTTATGCCACTTTCAAAATAAACGGCTCATATATATGTATATAGACGATAGTACAGCGACACCAGCCAACAGAAGCAGTTCCTAAAAAGATGTCGGGGCAAATTAATCGGTGCCTTGGACGTCTTCGGCCGCAAGTCCCAAACAACGCGATCTACGATTTACAACTACCGACAGAAAGAAATATCCTGACACTGATTTATATCCGACAGCGGCGAATCATCGCGCGGAACCTCGACGCGCGGCGCTATTGCTCGCGCGCTTTCGTTTCACCGATTCCAGAAAGACCGAATTCTATTTTCGTTGCTGCATAATTCGCCGCTGCGGATAGCACGTAGCAATTATGCTCCGCGTTCTGGCCGCGCGAAGTATGCTCTGCAGCAAAGTCGATTACGCGGCAGCATACCTGTTTACAATTTACGCGTGTACATACGTGTATCTTGTATGCGTGTACGTGTGTATGGCGCGGATTGAGTGTACCGAGCGTGTGCCGAAGTAGTTTGTTGTGTTTTTTTGTTCGTTTTTTTTTGTACGTTTTCCTAGACACAAGAGAACACACGAAAAAACACACACGGAGAAACAACTGCAGAAATAATGTTACGAGTACGCAGCCTTTATCGCGCCGCTGATCGAGTGTGTCGGCTGCGCTCACGGTTCGTAGTTACCTTTCAGGATTTTCTTTGGCTCTGAAACAAGCGGAATCAGATCGTTCTCTCTCCTATGGGCCACCGGATTACGGAGCCGGTGGCCTCGCGAGCGACACTTTCATTAATACCTGTTAATCGCGCTAACGGATGGATCTTTCTGCTAAATAAAAATTCTGTGCATCTGTTAGAAGCAGTGAGAGATCCATTTTAGAATTTTTTCCTTTCTTTAATCGTGTTTTAGCAGGCAGAAGGTAACGCGATTCGATGCTTCTCTGTTTTTACAATTTTTCTGGTATTTGAAATTTCGATTATATATTTCTGTAGTAAATTTATAAAATATGCAATCTGCTAGTAATTGGACTGCGGATATTTCTGCTGAGTAAATGTTGTCTGATGGAACTAGTAAGAACTATTTTAGAATTTTTTCCTTCCTCTAATCGTTTTAGCAGGTCGAAGGTAACGTGAATCGACGCTTTTCTGTTTTTACAATTTTTCTGGTATTTGAAATTTCGATTATATATTTCTGTAGTAAATTTATAAAATATGCAATCTGCTAGTAATTGGACTGCGAATATTTCTGCTGAGTAAATGTTGTTTGATGCAACTAGTAAGAACTATTTTCGAATTTTTTCCTTTCTTTAATCGTTTTAGCAGGCAGAAGGTAACGCGATTCGATGCTTCTCTGTTTTTACAATTTTTCTGGTATTTGAAATTTCGATTATATATTTCTGTAGTAAATTTATAAAATATGCAATCTGCTAGTAATTGGACTGCGAATATTTCTGCTGAGTAAGTGTTGTCTGATGCGACTAATAAGAACTATTTTAGAATTTTTTCCTTCCACTAATCATTTTAGCAGGTCGAAGGTAACGCGAATCGACGCTTTTCAGTTCTTCCAATTTTTCTGCTATTTGAAATTTCAATTACCTATTTCTGCAGTAAATTTATAAAATACTCAGTCTACTAATAATTGAACCGCAGATATTTCTGCTGAGTAAATATTGTCTGATGCAGCTAGTAAGAACTATTTTAGAATTTCTTCCTTCCTCTAATCATCTTAGTAAAACCAAAGTCATGGATTCGCAGTTTCCTATTTCTACAATGTTGTACTCCTTTCAATCGGAGCTACCAATTTCTTAATTAAATGGACAAAAAGCGCAGTATCCTAATAACTGGACTAACTGATCGATCATTGCGCAACGAATGCTTTTTCTCTTCGACAATCATTATACTACCCTATCCGCATCTCTGCTAATAGAAAAACCAACGAGTTTTATCACTGAGAGAATCGTTTCCTCTGTCACAATAATTTTAGCAAACGACGGTAATACATCGACGTTCTTAAATTCTTCATTCTGGTTTCCCTGCCTCGCGCTTCATCTTCTCAGCAACAAATGAAAAACTCCGCGGTCTACCAACGTCCTCAAAAAATAGTGTCGCTCGCCAGGCCACACATCAAAGGTGATTCACCTGTGACGCTGACAAAACGAGAATATAAAAGCAAGAAGGTGAGGTAACGTGATCTTTCGTCGAGTCGCAGGACTATTATTGAAAACAGTCGAATTTACGGGGAACCCGGCTCTTCGGGAAAGAACGCAACTCACCGTCGTCCTGGTCGTCATCACCTTCCTCTTCCTCCGTGTCCGTGCTTCTGCTTTTCCCGAGGTTCTTCATCCTCTTTTTCTTCGCAGCGGCTCGTCTCCTTCCTACAAGCAAACAAGTCTCGTCGATCAGGACAATCTCTACCGAAAAAAAACCAAAAGAAAAAGATGAAATCAATCTATTTATCCGCGTACGAACCTTCTAATATGTGCAGCTTCTGCTCTTCCGTGGTCCTCTCTTCAGCGAGTATTACCTCCTCTGAAAAGGCGAAGGCGAGAGTTGAGTGATCGACGTCGCCGATGGAGCGGGCATGCATCGGGAACCGGGGCGGGGGACAAAGAGAAGCCAGGGCGATTCTATTCTCTAGCTTAAGGGGACAGCCCGAAGGGCGTATATAGGGCCGACGCGAGCGGTCTCGCGATCGATAGACGATCGAGGCTGCCCGCGCTGGTGTTAGAGGTCTAACCTGCTTTGCAGATCCAATTCAGGTAACAGTTCAGTTCACGCTCGAGCTGCTGCTGTCTTCGCAACTTCAGGAAGGACTGCCGGTTCTCCACCTTCTCTCTCTCCTTCGCAAACTCTCTACAAGCGTTACAGAGACATGATAGGCCGGTTACTTGGGCGGACAGCACATCTGCCCTCCACCCTTCTCGAGGGAGCCTCGCTGATATTTTTTCCCGAAATTCCGTACAAGGTAAATGTACCCGTTATGGAACGCTTGATAATACGATTATCACCGATTTAATTACAGAGCTTGAAGTGTTCGTTGTCGATCGACGTTTCTGGCGCAACGGATTTCGAAAGATTTATTTTTAAAAAATGCGTAGAAGATAATACGAGTAAAATATTGGGTTGGCAACTAATAATAATAATAATAATAATAATATTAATAATAATTTTATATAATAATAATAATAATATTAATAATAATTTTATATAATAATAATAATAATAATAATAATAATAATAATAATAATAATAATAATAATAATAATTTTATAATATAACATTTACAGATATCATAAAAACGGGAGTGAGAGACATCTATAACTGAAATCGGCAATTACTTAGTTGCCAACCCAATAGTAAAGTACGAACATCTTATCACACATCAATTATAATCGAGCGTTTAAAATGCCTGTTCCAAGAAAGGAACATCGATTATGAAACACGATTGCCCGCTGTTCCATAAATCGGGACAGATTCATAGAAAATCTCGCATTCGAACGAACATTCTTTTTTCGCAGTCGATTGTTACATAACGGTATTCGCGCGAGGTGAATTTATCCGTCGATTTCTTATTGTTTCCGTCACCGTTCCAGGAAAGGGGTCACACGACTGACCCCCCGAGTGTTTCATAACAGGTACGTTTACCTTAATCCGTCCGTGGAAGTTGCGAGGATATCGGTCGCGCAATTTTCCCCGCGTAGAAAAAAAAACCGACTTTCACAGAGTTACGCGAGGCTCCCTCCCGAAGTCCTCGCGCGCGGATACGGAGCGTATCCGCGCGGGATCTTTACTCTAGCGAGCGCTCTATCGGGATATTCGTTTGCTGGCATTTGCGCGCGGATCGCCTACGCGCGCTATCGCCGCTGGAGATACGATACGTCTGGGACCAAGTGAGGACGAAAAACTCGGAGAGATTGCTGGCGCTACGAGCGAGGAAAGCACGGCTTTACCGGTGGCGACTAGCGTTTACCCAGCTACACGATTCTCTTCACCGGCGCGTCCGTGTTTGCTCGGGGTGCTCCAGAAACTCTCCCGCCACAAAGGCAGTCGAGTCTCTCCGTGAAAGAACGAGACGAAAACGTGGATGCTTCCGAGATAATTGACTTCGAACGTTGCGCGTGCGTCGACAACGTTCCGACCAGCTTCTTTCGCGTACAATTCGACGGCTTCTGTTCTTGTTACAGTAATGTCTCTCTAATTGACGTTCGGATTGTCCATAAAATTGGACAATTTGGGAAGAGGAGATACGATTATTCGAGCCTTGCGATTTATTATTATGGTTATAGATTGTCAATAATTATAAAAACGGCGCGGATAATTATATATATATAATATTATATATATATATAATATATAATATAATATATATATATATATATATATATATATATATATA